TGAATTTAAATATTTTAAATTGGCCTGTTATAACAGTGTAATATATGTGCATGCATGGCAATGAAATGAATTTTTTAAAAGATCAAATCATATGTTCTGTTATTTAATGTAGTAAAACGTTATAAATATACGATACTATAACAAAACTTTTGTCACTAATTGTGGTATTTCCCTTAGCTTTGGTTAAGGTTACAGGACACCATTTTGGGAGTTTTGCGGAAAATCGCTATTGCGCGCTCAATATCAGTCCGATTTTCATCAATTTTCACCAAATATTCTCGAGCTAGTGCATGCAAAATATGGCAAAGTTGCAAAATTGACAAACAATAAAATAATATAATAATTATTCAGGAAAATCTTAAATCGCGGTACCTTTACGCTTTTGAGTTATGTTCCTGCTAGTTTTAAGATATATTTAAGAAAATATAATTTTTATACAGCAAAACAGTTGTTCTAAAAAATAGTGTTTTGAAATTTTTGTTTATTTCGTCATTCCGCTGATATGGCAATTTCTTTGACGTCTGCAACATATTTCTGAATCGTTTGAGTGAATTGCTTCTTATTATTAAAATATCCAAAATTAGAAAAACGCCGAACACAATTTTGAAATTGACGTCTGTAGCTATGTCCTGTGAAAATTTGAGAAAACTTCGTTTAAACCCGCAGGAGAACAACTCGTTTGAAAATCAGTAATTGGCGTAACTGAATTCTTCGGGGAAAAATTGAATTTGAATATTACATTTTCAATGTTTTTCTTATTACAGCGAAATGTATTATATTAAATTAAATAACTCTGCATGTTTTCAACATTTTTCGTTCAAACTTGGTCAGATAGCAGAACCAGTCTAATGCGTTCATGGAAACCAGTAAAAACAATTTGGGCAAAATTAACGCTCAAAGGTGTTCTGTAACCTTAAAAAACTATGTTGAGTTCTTACACATGCAGATGCCATATAATTATAAACAATTCTGTCTTTCCGGCAACTTGCACGCAATGCATGTCTGCATAGTTTTACATCTTCCACTCCTGTTTACAGTATTATTTTCTTGTTATATTTCTGAATGCAGAAGAAGTTTATAAGTCAGGGTTTGATCTAAGACGATCTCTAAAATGTGTAGCTTTACTTCCAACAAATGCTTCATTTTTGTTCACCATCTCGTCATACGACAACATATGATCCTAATGAGTAATGAAATAAATTAAAGCAATAGTTAAAATAAGTATCCTGCAAATTTCTATACATTGGACAGACTGAGTTATGTATTCAAAGAATTACGACGTATATTTTGAAAGTTCCCAAAACATTTTATACTTGTCGTAAGACATTTGGTTTACCTGGAATAAAGTCTACATTCCTTATTGCAGCACATTGATAGTTTGCTGTGATTATGAAAGTGTTTCTGCTTTGTTGACCCATCAGGCTTATGGAAATTTTGAGATAGAGTATGTTTTTTCACGTTCGACCTAAGAATGAGAAAGTTTTCCGATGCGAAATTGTTAGTATACCATGTGCTGAAGAAAGCAAGGAAACGAGAATGAAACGAGAAAGATGCATAATTCAGGGGCGGATCCAGCGTTTTGGATGGCAGGTTTACTAGGTCCACACAACCACTAGGGGGGTTCCGGGGCATGCACCCTCGGAAAATTTTTAAAATTCGGGCCTCTTAAACAGCATTTCCCGCGTTCTGGCGTCACCTTTTAAATTAATTTAATGGTTAGAAAATACATGTTTTTAAGAGAATTTTGGACTAATATACGCAGCTCAAACAACGAATTGAACCTTTTCGGAAACTTATTAGCTGGTGATAAAAATATAGGATTGGCAAATTGCTGACGCATCGATATTTATTATAAGTACAACAAGTAGAGATGCTTTTAATATAAACATAGTTGTAATTTTAGATCTATACGCTTTCAAACCAACCGCTTTAACAATGAAATAGAAACCAAACTGCAAGAGCGTGGAAGCTTTACAATTATTTCCTGATTCTCTGTCGCAAACGCAATGGTGCGGTCACGCAATATTATAAGAATTATACACATATTTCGCGCTATCATGAGTGTAGACTGTGTAGAAGTTACACGTATAATTGGTATAAACATCGATACGCTTGTTGACGGATCGATATTTATTATACAGTAAGTAGAAATAGCTTACAGTTATAACTTTAGACTATATACTTTTAAACAAACCTTCAAAATGAACAAGAAATCCATATAAATGCTTCTATCGCCAACGCAATTTTGCCAATTTCCAGTCACGCAAAATTATAAACACATTTCGCGCGTCCTCGAGTTCTGTTAACTTTCATTCCCAGTTTTCTCTAAATACTGCTCGACTCACAGGTTTATGACCGGTTTACATCCGTCGGAGCGTAGCCGTTTAGCCAATCGAATGGCGTATCGACCGGTTTACTCTCATTGAGAAAACTCTGACCACCGGTTTACTCATAATTGCGGGCGGTTATGTGTGATTCATGCGATGTTTCAGTGCACGACCCCATTCTCGTACCCAGAGCCCTTCTTACGCGCGTTCGACCGAGCACGACGAGGGGCTCTGGCTAAATCCATATCAAACTGGCTTCTGATTGGCCACAACTAAATATATGGTTTATTGTATAAAATATGAATAAAAATCAAGCGCTCCATGAAGCGTTGGTTTCGTTTTGGAGAAAATTGGGAGAAAAGACATTATTAAAGTTGAAAGAACAGCAGTACGAAGCGGTTAGGAAGATTGTTGTTGATAATTGCCCATGAAAGCGGTAGAGGTCGCTAATTTTATTTATTTAAATCAATTAGTTGATTGAAATTAATAGGTTGAGAAGTGATGTTCTCATAGCAAAAAGTCAGCATATTTATGGCAGATGCTCGACGTATTTCCAAATCAGTGATGTTAATCAAACAAATCTGTGTTACATGTTCAAAGCTGAAGTGCCATCTGAAGAGAAAACATTAAAGCCAGCCAGAATATGAAGTTATTGTGATGACTATTTTCTTCCTAGAAACCGATTTTTTACAATTTTCAAATGATTTGCAGTATAGTATGTCTTATGTATGACTGTTGACTTTTAATAAAACACAAAAAAGTCTAAAAATCTGTACAACAGCGACTTAAAATCGAATATAAAATAGTGAGACAATCTCTCGTCTTCGTATCCGTAGCCATTACTGCTTTGGCAACGTTTAAGAGGGAAATATATACTAAATTTTTATCAACATGCATTGAGAACATCACGTCTTACCAACTAATTGATTTAAATAAGTAAAATTAGCGAAACCTACCGCTTTTGTGGGGTTTTCCTGGCGAAAAACTTTCAAAACGGAACAAACAAGAAAACCGAAGTGTTTATCCGCGTTTGACGTTGAGCATGCGCAGTGTTTAACCGGATACCATGTTTTATGGTATCCGGATATGGATTTGGCCAGAGCCCCTCGTCGTGCTCGGTCGAACGCGTGTAAGAAGGGCTCTGGGTACGAGAATGTCCACGACCCACGACGATACATTAGCAGATTATTTGTCTAGTATTACAACATTACGTAAGAGGAAACCAACGCGGTAAGTCCTTAATTAATTAAATGCTTATTATGTAAGTGGGTCTAAATACGCTCGGTAATCCAGAATCAAATTTCAATAAGAGTATTTAAATGGCGTAACAGATTAGACATTAACATCACGTTTATGAAACAGAATATTCTTTAAATTAGTTATATATGTACATGGAAGGTTATCGATTTTCTTTCTTTGGAAAATCTGACAGGTTTATATAAACCTGTCAAACCTGTCTGAATCCGCCCCTGTAATTGTACCCTATATATAATTAAACAATATTTGTATTTACTGGTGAATAAAAGTATCATCCAGCGCTATATATAAGTATAGTTAAAAATGTCATTAATAATTCACGAGGAAAATAGAAAAGAAACGAATGTTTAATCAATGTTTGTAAATCGGATAAAGATTTGTCCTGATTTACATATTAAGAGGGAATCTCCACTATCACCGAGCAACTGGTGGCACATGATGAAAAATGAAATGTTTTCTTATTTTGTCCAGTGATACACTAATGTATACTTAGAAACGTGATGGGGTTTGTTTTCTGAAATATTATTTTAAACGCCGAAAAATTATCAAAACCTGACATGTACCCAAGATTCGTGAAATTAGCTAAAAACATAATGAGTCATAGCCTCTCGAAAACTTCGCTTTGCTCAGTTCGCGTCTTCAGGAAACCTTACTTTCGGTTTTTAAACGTGTATATAAGATGTTTATAAACAACGATAGTCTATTTTGCAATCTTTTAAATGATGTTTCAAAGTCAAGCCAAGCGTGTAAAAATCGCCTTATTTTGCGATCCAAAAAATTCTAAATTGTTACACTTTTTGAAAATTAATTTTCTGTATCCGGGAAAACTCCAATTTCCTTGAAATTTAGGGAATTTAAAGAGAAACTGTTGCTCTAAAAGCTGATGTAAAAATTATTTTGGGGCTTTTTGTTACCGCGGAATTTTACTGACTATAATATCGGGAAAATCACAAGAAAAACCTTAAGTTAAAAAATTTTAAGTTTGGTACAATTTTTGAAAATCAATTTTCCCTTTCCGGTAAAACTCCGATTTCCTTCAAATTTAGACAAATGTATGAGCAAATGTTGCTCTCAAATCTGGTGTAAAAATATTATGGGGTGTTTTGTTATCA